AGTAGTAGTAGTAGTAGTAGTAGAAGTAGTAGTGGCGGTAGTAGTAGTAGTAGTAGAAGTAGTAGTGGTAGTAGTAGTAGTAGTAGCAGCCAGGCTTGAGTTCAAGACTCCATTGGTGCCCACAAGCCTAGATTGCCACAGAAGCCCCCTTCACGACTGGATTATCTCTTACTGCCTTTTGCACAAGGTGCCTCCAGCTTGCGCAGACTGCCGACCTCTGGTTTCTCGGCCTCACTTGACTTCATGGTTTGATGAATTCGCTCTTCAGAAGTCTTTTCTGGATATCAGGCGGCTTAGGAGTTCAAGCTCAGGGTTCGAAGACGAGACCTGTCAGTGTCTGACTAGACTCTTCTCTTTTGAGCCGATTTCTTCTTGTCTGGATCTGGACTATATGACGGCTCAGAGTGTGATGTGTCTTCGGCTGTCTTCCCTTTTCCGAATGTTGCGGAGCCTGCTGCTGTATTGCATCCTGTGCAGAAGTTCCAGTCATGCCCGTGGGGTGTGAACTGCAACCTTTCATGCCACACATTGTTTGCGTTAGCAGGCATTGCACGCCTTTCACTTCAATTCGGGGTGCCGTGCATTCTTCAGGCTTTATGATAAGAGAGGGTAGTCGTATTCACGACTTGTGGATCAAGATAAAACTCACTTGCTTGTTGAACCTGCAGTATGAGCGGAAACATCTGTCCAAGGTTTGGTGCAGGCTTGAACAGGTTTCATTGTGACATGCGCATCCGATGCACGCGCGGAAGTTGCTCGAATGTCCAAAAACTTCAACGTCTGCACCAGGTCATGGACCTCTTCGCCACAAAGCTCCGACAGGGTCACCTGTCCGATAGCCATCGGTGCAACATTTCGCTGGCCAAGCTACGCAGGTGAGCTTCCACAGTGCTGAACCAAGGGCTAGAGTCCAGCTAGAGACCGAGGCTTCCGGCCAGCTTCCACAACTCACGGTCCAACGGAGGCCGATTCTGATTCGCTGTCTGGTCACACTGACCATCTTCAAGGCAAGAGGAGGCCACGGCAGCACGCTCAATGCACCCAAGTTGGCACATGAAAAGCTAGTCAGACCCCTCTAGAAGCTGGGCGTTTATGCCTGCAAGAAGCAGTGTCTCAGGAAGTACAATGTGGATGATATGACCATATTGATGCCAACCAATGTATTCCTCCCAAGCCGTCAAAGCACAATCCGGCCTGGGACACTAGTACCAGCAACAGCAAGCCGAACGGAGCAAACCTTCCCAACACCCATCGGGAAAACGATATCGTTTGTGGGCCTGCAACAGGCAATATGCAACATCGGGACGGAAGTGCTTCTCAGAGCTGTATGCGATCCGCTGCAAATCTTCCATGTTCCTTCTTCCTTCAAAAGATTGCTCATGCTGCGACACAATGCAGCCAGTCATAGCGAATCAGTTCGCCTGCCTTGTCCGCTCCGCGCTGGCCAAAGAGGACAAAGTGATCAGCCTGGGCGATTCGAAACATTGTAAAGCGCTCCATAGATCCGTGAAGACTAGGGATGCATGAACAAGCGTGTCTAATCAACACACTAACCTTTGATGATTGTTTAATTTCAAAAGCAGCAGCAGAATTACGAATGCAGCCTATGTAGGTCTTCTGGCGCGTGCTGTTGTTGTTGTTGCTGTTGCCTGAAGATGAAGCCCTAAAGCAGGGAAGGCAAAGCAAACCCTAAAGTCGTCCCGAAGATTCGACCCTACGACCTAGAAGACAAAGCAAACCCGTCGTCCCGCAGATAAGACCCTAGAGCGAATAAAGCAGAGCAACCCTAAATTCGTCCCAAGATGCAGCCCTAAAGCGAGGAAGGAATGCAAGCCCTAAGATGAAACCCTAAAGCGACGAAGGCAGAGCAAACTCTGAAGTCGTCCCGAAAATAAAAACACTAAAGAAAGGAAGGCAGAGCAAAGGGTTAAAGGCGAAGCTAAACCCGGAAGTCTGGAAGTTCGGTCTAATGAGGCGTAAAACTGCAAGAAGCGTCGACCCTCAAGAGCAAAAACACAGCGAGAACAGACAAAAAACAGAGGGGAATGGGCTGCGCTCTTGAACGTCACGCGATGGTAAGGTCTCCTTACTAGTACCACCGCAGCAACACCCAGATATTCACTCACCAAATTCCATAGCCCACCAAATCCATACCATGAACCCTGCTTCACACCACAATCGTCTTGATGCACGTGCCTGCTGTTGCGATGCTGCTCAAGTTGTGAGCAACTGAGACTTGTACCAAGCCGCAAAAGAAGAGAAGGGCAGAACACCCGAAATGGCAACACGAACGGTCGCGGGTCGCTTCTGCGCCTGCTCCGCAAGCTCGGGCTTGGAATCGGTGCAAAGCCAGCTCCTGGAGTGATTGGTGAATGTAGACCAAGGATTTCGTGGACTCTCAGGCTTTTCCTGGCAAAGTGCCTCAAACACAGCACGAAGCAGATTTCCTTTCAGCCTGCATGTCATATGCGTGGGGACATAGGGCTTCTGCTACCCCCTAGCGCTCCGTGCCGTCTGCCAAGCCGAGAGGAGCGACTCGCCCACTCCCAGGGAGAGGTAAAACTGCTGAGAAAACCTCAGAGGCCGTTGACTCTTTGGTGCTGATGTTGAGACAGAAGCTTAAGTGCAGACTCCTCCTACCTGCTGCAGAAGCCATCCGAGGAGCCTCCGCGCGGCCACATCGTAGACCGGACTTCGCAAGCACACCACGTGAGGGCAACCGCACTCGACAAAGACCTGCACACTCTTCATTGAATGGTAGGTAGGGGAATTTGACATGGCACCTCTGACCCTCCTTCTAGGCTTTGGGTCTTGGAAACGCAGCCTAGGGCCACTAGGGCACTTGATCTCGCACACTCTTAGCTTGTGTTTTCGGGATTGGGACGAGGTTACGTTGATACTCCAGCGAAAACTAGCTAGTTGCTATCCTCTGCAACACGTTTCTAACTGGAGATAGTTTCCACGTTCCACACGGCATGTGGCTGACAGGACGAAATCAAAAATCGAAACAGAAACTGAGCATTTTGTTGATCGCTGCACTGAAAGAAGAATTGCACCCTATGTATGATTGCCTGGACGATTGGGGAAAACCACGGGCAGACACTAAACTAAACCCTAAACATCCCTAGACCCTGAACCGCCTTCAGAGCAGAAGACGACTCTTAAAGGATTCTTGACTCGTAGAAGAAGGATGTGGGGTATAATATAACATAATATAATATAATATAACATATTATAATATGATATAATATAATATAATGTAATATAATGTGATACAATTGAATATAATATAATACAATATATTATATTCAATTGTATCACATTGTTTTATAATAGTTCTATATAATACAATATAATATATACAATATAAATATATGTAAAATACTATACATATATATGCACATATACAAAAACAATTTTTTGTCACTATAGCTAGCAACAGACGCGGCCACGGACGAGCACAGCCAGCTTGGTTTAGCTTCTACCGGAAAGGACAGCTGCATTTGCTTACTGCTCAAAATGTGCCATACGAACCGATTCCGTCTCGTTTCCCGATCGAATGAAGCTGCGCCGAGCACAAGTCTATTGCGACAACGCACAAAGTGTAGGACGGCAGAGTGGTGAAGCTCTTGCGATTCGGCTGAAGTAGCACAACTTTAAGAATCGAATTCCGAAGTACTCTGAGCTTCACGTGTGAAGCTGGTAGATCCTAAAGACTCATAAATCACACGGCAACGACTTCAACCAAAGCTTTGTTTGAGTTCGCTTCCTCCGCAACATTCAAGCCGGGTATATGTCCCGTCAAAACAAGCATCTGCTGAATGCTCGCAGCAGCCAGCGCCAAACTCCTCATCCCAACAGGTGCGCGGGCCTGCAATGCGAATCCAAACTACGTATTCCAAAGGTGGACGCGGAGGGTAAGTCGGTTCGACTTTGCCTGCTTTTTGAAGGTCCACTCTGGTCTTCTCCACAAACGCATTACGCAGCAAGAACCTCTGCTGCTGTACCTCTGCGGCGTCGCCCCGAAGGGTGAGGTGCAGCTCGGTCCCCTTCGTGGATAGCCGGAGAAGAGCTTGGGCACCACAAGGGCTCTGCAACACGCCCTCCGATGAAACGATGAGGTCGAAGTGCCCGAATTCTTCCACTTGAAAAAGCTCACACAAGTCCAAACTTTCTGAACCCAAATTCGTGAGTTCGCTGTGTTTTCGTCGCAGCTCCGGATCGACCACGCCGGGCAAATCCGTGGCCAGCATCGCTCTGCATCGCGAAGCCAGCACCAGGAAAGGCAGAGCGAAGAAGCCAGCCGCCAGCTCGATGCAACGGCCGAACGAGGAGGCTTCTTTAATCGAAGTCTCGGCGAAATGTCGCGAAGAATCAAGGATCCCGGCCACAAAACTCCCGAGTGCCAGCCATCAGATAAGACCAACCGAGGAGCTGCCTTTGCTGAAGGACGAGAGGCTCTCTGAAGAAAGGTTGCAGATCCAATTGAAGATTCGCGCTCTTCAAAGGCAAGAAACGGACAGGGCGCCCACCATGGGCGACGAGACCTTCGTAGACAAAGTCGCAACAACGCTCGACAAAATTGTCGAAGCTCGGAAGGCCCAAGGATTTCCAACACCAAGGATTCCCTTGCCGTTCGCGTGCGATGCCAGCGTTGGGGCCGGGCCGCTCTTGGCTGTGGTTCTTGATGGCTGGCTCTCGCAAGCGCTCTGGTCGACAGCAGTAACTGTAAAAGTCACCCAAGGTCAGGCCAAGAATCAAAGCACATGAAGCGCTGCTGTTGAAACTCTCAGCTGGCATCTGCCGGTGTGCATGGGTCAAGTGAACACAAGGTACCGTGGGTTTGAGCGAGCTGCCATCCTATCACAAAGTGCATGGATATTTGTCGTAAAGCTGTTGCAGCGCAGTTCTGAGGGCCGGCCGGAGGGTTCGGGGGTGGGTTTTGAGCCTGGTTGCGGGACAGCTTGCGACTCCGGTGCTCTCGTTTTCCCCCGAGCTCCGGACTTGGGCAAGCTCCTGCGACCAGCAAGTGCTCAGAAACAGCCTGGTGAGCTCGATGTGGCGAGGATGGAAGGGAGGCAGCTCTGCAAAGCGACACAAACCTTGTGATGCATGTCAAACCGGAAGAAGCACATGTCCAAGAACACTCTTGTCTATGTGGCACCTATCATCTGAACCTCTCTCTATCTCTCTCTCAGCTGCATAAGAGCGGGTGAAGTCGTGCAAGAAACATGTACCAACTCATCCCTTGTTGCCTCAACTTCCACGGCCACTGAGACAGCGGCAGGGATACACTTCGAAGCCCGCTTTCCTTCATACCGAGGATCTCCTGCAACGGAACACTTCTTGGTGAAGCCGTCGGGCATCTTCGAGTTGTTGCAGTTCGCCAGTCAGTTTCTATAGAGAGATAGGCTGGTGCATCCACTCTACGGAGCAGGCAAGGACCCCCGTACCGAAGCAAGCGAAACTCGCACGCCTCTAGCCGCTTCTTCCAGAGGACGTGCGCCTTCGCGGCGAAAACTCGTTTAGATCAGCTTTTGGTCTCATCGAAGCTGGGAGGGAACATAATTTAGAATAATGAATCTGCTACTGGCTTTGCTACGAGAGCCGAAGGTCAATGGCAGAGTGCTTAAGGATCCGCCACATCCTGATGGGGAGAGGCCCCAAATTTAAGAACTGATGAAACAATCCAGTGAAGCGCTTATAACTTCTTCCCGGACTTAGTACATGGGGCAAGGTAAGGCGTGACAGCACTGACAAGCACAGGCCTGGTACAAGTAGAATCAAGTAAGCTGCCAGAAAACTAAACGTTCATCCATCAGAACACATTTGAGGCATGTAGCTTGTAGGATCAAGTGGGGGCAAAGCCTGATTATCCCATAGTGGCAAGGACGCAAAGATTCGCAACTAACGGAATCCGCTACATGGGAAGGGCTTCAGCCAGCATTGAATGCGCAAGAAGCACTGGATGCAAGATGCACCTTCCCGCAAGAGTCTTCCAGGACCAGGCCAACATCGCCCTGGTCATGCTCAGATCTCCAGCCGCCAGTGTCTCAGGATACTTACGATGCTCGTTCCGCAGTGGTTGGAGGTCTCTCTGATAGGTGCACGAAACCTAGTGAAGGTTTTGCTCCTGGCTGCGAGCTCATGTTCCTCTGCTTGTCTGTCAAAGTTGCGAGTATCACAAGCTCAGGACTCCGAAGCACTCCGAAGCCTTGTCGGAGCGGATTGAGTGAGCAGACAGATGAAGGACAAGGCCCTTCTGTGACTTCGCCAACGTCAGCAGCTTCCTCGGCGCTGGGTCGACGTCAACCCGACGAAACATCTGAACTCTTGAAAAAACGGGGGGCCCTTCAAGAAATCTGCATGATCTCTACACCAGCCGTTGTAAAGCGCTTTCTTGCCAAGGCATGCTTTTTCGGCAGACATGCTGTGGTGAGCCTTAAAGCCTTACAGGGCCTGCGCCTGACATCTTGCGGTCGCGGAGCGAAAGAGATTGCACCGTGGCCACGCCCACGTTTAGTCGAGCTCCCGAGCCAGATTCCTCAGTTTGCGAAGGTCTGGGAGAAACCTCGCTTCCACAGGGCACTTTCTTGCAAGCCGGTGGCTTCAAAGGCCTCCTGGATGGTCTCTACCTCCGACCTGAGCCACGCCACACGTCTTCCTTACATCCTCGCTATTCCTCGCTGCCCTACTACAACGCGCATGCAGAATGAAAGGGTTTATTTACTGTGCTGCCCCACCTCACATTGATGGCCGGATGGCCCAGTGGTGAGGCAAAGAGGCAGTACACCTGATGCCCATGCAGACAACAGCATTTGTGCATATTCAACAGAGGCTTCCTCGAACGGCATCGTGTCAGACTTAGGACTTAGGGCTCACGTGCCGGAATGACCGCGGCAACATCAGTCTGCAAAGGACAGGCGGCACATTCAATCATGTCTCCCGCCTCCTTGCAGTTGTCTTGGCTGGACACCCTCAAAAAAGAGGAGCCGTACGAAGACTCGTCGTTCACGGGCGGGCTAGAGCAGTTGGAAAAGCTACTCAAGCGGTACTCCGTGGTTGGCGTTGAATCAACGCTCAAGCCCTCCATATAGAACCTTGGTTGGCGCAGGCAATACTACGTGCCATCCGCAAAACCAAGATGTAGAACAAAGATGTAGAAAATGCTGCAAGGCACTGTCAATAAGTAACTTTTTCAGACCTTAATATGCCCAGCAGCCCCGGCGTATCATGCACTTCCCGAGGTGTATACAGCATCTCACCATGGCTGCCAGATCCCAGTGAAGTTCCCGAGGGAGAACGCTTCTCCTAAGGACCGGGCGTCTTGCACATCTCTTGTCGTTACATAGCTTTTGAGGGCTTTGCTAGCTTATGGACTAGGACTGGCAGCTAGGATTTGTTCGTATGTGCGTTCGGCCTTCTAGGTGCGGGGTGGGTTGTGCGCGCCGGCGAGGAAACATGCAAGCAAAACCGTCTTGTGCGACACTTCAAGCGCTTTCCCACCGTACGATGTAAGAAGGCACTGTGACGGGAAAGCGCGACTG